ACTACATATGTGCTGCCTTTTACCATATGGTAGCTTATTATAGGCTGTGTACATAGTCTCATTAACTCTACATCCTCCCATTGCTGGTTTAGGAAATAGTGTACACATGATGATAGCTACGCTTCAAATCTACCCTGTCATTTCTTATGAAATACTGTGTTTTGATGTGTTTCCCCTCAAACCAGCTTCAATCTGAATTGAGAAAAAGAATCTGAGTTTCAAGCCGGTGATGTGTAAACAGCCATAGACAAAAGTGCTGCTGCAGCTGTAAAAGAATGCACGTTGAAATATATTGCTGCAACTTATCAAGGTGTAATAGGGCTATTTATAGAGCTCAGCCTTCATTTAAAATCTCAAAAAGCACACATAAGAGCAAAAGTAAGGAACAACATCCAACGGCATAGGGAGAACATTTCTTCACCAACCAAGGGGAGATAGGGGATTATATATTCTTTTCTTCAAGCCACTTTGGTGAGCTTGATGTCTCCGGAGATTTGTAAAGCTGTCACCCTTTGCATAGGCTGCACGCGGTGAGTGAAACTGCAGAGCTGACGTCCATCAAGCAAGACCCGAATCTGCTGATGCTCACACAAGAGCTCCATCTGAAAAAACAAAGGAGATCCATGGGTGGCAGGGGCAGAGCCTGACAGCAATCCCAATAAAGTTGGACACCCACAAAATAATGAGTCGCAAGCTTATTGATTTCAATGGGACTTGCTTATACATAGACACTTTTGAAAATGAATTGGAAATATTACACTGGAAGTCCTACTTAAATGACAACCATATTTTATTATGACTTGACAGCCTAGTAATATCTTTATAAATAAATAAATGGTCTTCCTTTTGATCCTGTAAATACAGATGGAGCAAATAGAGGACATGTTTATTACAAACACGACCACAACTTTAGTCCCAAGCGCCTATAGTTAGATGATCAGAAGAGTTGAAAGAGAAAATCTGCCTGAGGCCTTGGAGAGCTGCTGTCAGTCAAAGGAGACATACTGGGCCAGAGGGTCTTAGGCAGTTTATATCTCTATCTATATATCCGTCTCCCATACGAATAAGTAAAATTACCTTAAATGACTCCCCTGCTGTAAATGGGAAGTAGGGAATGGTCTTTTCCTCTTTACCCCATTTCCCAGCAATCCGTGAATTCCGGACAATGGATTTCTCAAGAAAGCTGACCGCAAGCAACAGCCCAATGTCCAGATTGGCATCCATGGGGTCACAGAGCAAAGTCACTGAAAAACTTGAAGGAATGAACATGTGATAAGTAACGATTCAGCAATCTAACGTGATAGTGAGCTCATTTATCACATGCTGTGGCATTATAATGTCATATTTGTTTCCAGGGTAAGTATGGCCTAGTCTAAGGATGTGAAACCTGTGGCCCTCCAAATGCTGTTGAACTACAGCTCCCACCATCCTTTACCACGGGCCATGTAGCCTGGGGTTGGTGGGAGCCCAGCAATGTCTCTGGAGGGCCACAGGTTCTCCAACCCTGCATTAAATGCTTACCTCCAGCTGCACTTGGAGAAAAGTAGCTAAACTGCACTGGCCTAGACGCTGAAAAAGCATTATGAGAGCTGTCCAGAAACATACATCAGAAATGACACAGAGCCTGCCTTTTTAGTGTGACATCATCATAGCACTCTGTAAGAAACAGCACGGATATATGAGGCGATGATGCATTGTGTGTGGCTACTTAAGCAAATTTTAAACAGCTGACCAGACATGCAGATTAATTTTCCTTCAGCACCAGGGGTGATGGGATAGCTTCTTGCACTGCACATAAAGCAGCAGGCCAGATTAGAGGGACAAGGCAGAACAAAACAGCAACAGAAGGAAACAGCTGGGGGGGTACAGAAGGAACAGTTGGGTTCCCACTTTCTGCCTACTGGTACGGCTGGCTCTGTGCATGGGGCATTATTCTGGGAATGCCTCCTCTGGGAACAGCTATTTCTCCTCCATCTTTGCATCAGAAGTGTTGGAATGATCCAGTCAAACAAACAAATATAGCAAAATTACGACCCCTTTCCCCTGCCCTCCCAATGGGAAGGATGGAAGCACACAGCACTGGCTCATGCAGAGGGGCAATAGGGAGCCTTGGTGACAGTAGAGGCAATTCTGTGATGAATCAGGATGATTCAGTGCTCCAGCCACAACTGAAGCAGAGATGGGTCAGCAGGATTACCCATCCCCAGTGAAGGCGAATTGGAAGAAGCATGCAGAGTTCCAGCAGGCAGCCACCTTTTTGAGTGATTACTTTGGGTTCACAGGAGACTTAATTATGGAACCATAGAATATTAGAATTGGAAGGGACTAGTGTCTGGATGTGTGAGCTAAGAATGGTCAGTTATGCTCTGCTGAGCTACACTGCTCAGAAATAGTGAATTATGTTCAGTGCTCCTCTGATGTTCTCCATATTGACATTACTATCTCTCCCTTTTTGCCCAGCTAATGCTATTCCTCAATAGATCTGCACCTATGAGCAATTATCACCAGACACATCCATGAAGCAGCTGCTAGAATGCCGGCTGACACACTTGCCTCTTGGGGGCAGGGCATATTACCCCCATGATAGTGATTTTCATGGTTGGCCTCAGTCCTCCTTTAATCTCACCGACGTATTTCTCCACCTAATGGGGGAAACAATAATTCTGAATATGTGTTTGAAAATGACATCTACACAATAAAATACAAAGCTGCATATTTATCTATTACTAATACTATACGTACACAGGAGTTTTCTTCCTAGGTGTACCTGTCTTTTAAGCTGTGCATTAAAAACAACAAGATAGAAATCTGTCTTATACCAAGTCAGACTATTGGTCCATCTTGCTCGGTACTGGAATAATGTGACTGGCAGTGGCTCTCCAAGGTTTCAGACAGCGGACATTCCCAGTCCTCTCTGGAGATGCTGGGGTTTGACCCTGGGACCTTATGCATGCAGAGCAAGTGCTCTACCTACAACTGAGCTACAGTCTTTCATCCAAAGAGCCACCCTGCAGGAGAAAGGAAAATGGGTGTGAAGCTCAAACCTTTTAACTGCAGTTCACTGAGGGTTACACCCAGATAGCTGTTCACAAGAGTGCTACCTTGGACTGTAGGTCTTGCTGAGGATTGCGCTGCCTCATGAAAGCATTTCTTTACACCTGGGGCCCACAGTGTGGGCACTACATCATTTTCAGACAGCCCCCTTGGCACTTGTCAAGGCCCTGACCCCTCTCAATTTTTTTAAAGTAGTTTTTTGGGCTTTTGGTTGGTTGGGGAGCTGACTTTTAGAAAGATTGCCTGCTTTTTTGTGTCTCGGTTTTATTTGGGGGAGTTTGCGGAGAGGACTAGGTGTTTTGCATGTTATGGGGGTGGGTGAGCATCACCTGTTTTTCTTCCATGAAATGGATATTTATGGTACCTCCAACAGTTCCAAATGTACCCTCAAGCCCGAAAAGGTTGAATAACCTCATTTCACACTTGGGTTACTCTAGACCAGGGGTAGGCAAACTAAGGCCCGGGGACCGGATGCAGCCCAATCGCCTTCTCAATCCGGCCCACGGATGGTCCGGGAATCAGCGTGTTTTTACATGAGTAGAATGTGTCCTTTTATTTAAAATGCATCTCTGGGTTATTTGTGGGGCATAGGAATTCATTCATATTTTCTTTCAAAATATAGTCTGGCCCACCACATGGTCTGAGGGATAGTGGACCGGCCCACAGCTGAAAAAGGTTGCTGACCCCTGCTCTAGACTTAATAAATGTGTAGTGAACAGTCAGTGTAACACAATGCTTACAATGTCAGACTGGAAATGGAGACCTGTGGCTGTGTACACACAACATATATTTAAAGCACATGACTTTTCCCCAAAGAATCTAGGAACTGTAGTTTATTAAGGGTGCTGGAAATTGTGGTTCTGTGAGAGGTAAAGTGCTTCAAATGTATGGTGTATACACAGCCCCAGAGTCAAATCCTAAGCTATGAAGCTCACTAGGTGACCCATCTCTCTCTTCCTTAGCTACCTCAAAGGCTTTTGTGAGGATAAAACTGCAGGGGAGGACACAAGCGATGAAATGGGAAATGCTGCCCCTGATCCTAAAGAAAGTGTCGTCTCCACTGACTTTCATTTCAAGGAAGCCAAACCCTATAACAATATGCCTCTTATTTCAGAACTATTGTTTTTTATTTATATGCTAAAGCATGGTCTCTGGTTGTAAATACTTTGCCAGTTTTTGAAACATTACAATCTCTTTTTTTTTTTGAAATTTTTTTTTATTAGTTTTACAAAATTTTAAGAACAAACAAACACTTAAAAAGACATACAAACACGTATAATTTCATAATGTTTTCCATAAACCTCTTTTCTGGGACTCCCCCATACCCCCCCCTTTCTGCATCCCAATGTCCATAGTTTTATAGCAACTCCCAATTGTTACTTTCCAACCTCTGTCCTTAGTTATCTCTGTAATCTGACCTTATATCACTGTATCCCTTTGTTCCTGAAAACCATAACACTCTAACATTCATCAAGTTTATAATACAGTGGTGCCCCGCAAGACGAAATTAATTCGTTCCGCAATTTTTGTCGTCTAGCGAATTTTTCGTCTTGCGAAGCACGGTTTCCCATAGGAATGCATTGAAAATCAATTAATGCGTTCCTAGGGAAACCGCTTGCCAGGCTGGCGGTGCGGAGAAGGGCTTTTCTCCCCACCGCAAGCCTTCAGCACAGGTACGGGAACAGAGGGGAAGGCGCGCAGCGCTTTCCCTCTGTTCCCGGGGCTTGCGTGGGAGGAGGGTTTTTCCTCCCCACCGCCAACATTCAGAACAGCATTCTGAATGTTGGCGGTGGGAAGGAAAACCCTTCTCCCACCCCAAGTCTTCAGGACAGCCATCCGAAGGCTGGCGCGGGGAGAAGGTCTCTCCGCCCCCCCCCACGCCAGGCTTCGGTGCATCCTTCAGAGGCTGCTGCCATAGTCACGCGTCACTTCTCCAGCTGGGAGAGGGTCGCGGGGCTATGGTTTCTTTAGCCCCGCGCGCGCTCTCCCGGCTGGAGAGGTGACGGGCGCCTATGGAGGTTCCTGCCATATGCGCGCGTCACAACTCCAGCTGGGAGAGGGTCGCGGGGGGCTGGTTTAGCCCCGCGCGCGCTCTCCCGGCTGGAGAGGTGACGGGCGCCTATGGAGGCTCCTGCCATAGGCGCGCGTCACATCTCCAGCTGGGAGAGGGTCGCGGGGGGCTGGTTTAGCCCCGCGCGCGCTCTCCTGGCTGGAGAGGTGACGGGCGCCTATGGAGGCTCCTGCCATAGGCGCGCGTCACTTCTCCAGCTGGGAGAGGGTCGCGGGGGGCTGGTTTAGCCCCGCGCGCGCTCTCCCGGCTGGAGAGGTGACGGGCGCCTATGGAGGCTCCTGCCATAGGCGCGCGTCACTTCTCCAGCTGGGAGAGGGTCGCGGGGGGCTGGTTTAGCCCCGCGCGCGCTCTCCTGGCTGGAGAGGTGACGGGCGCCTATGGAGGTTCCTATGGAGCTGTTCCTGGAACAGCTTTCCGAAGTGGGGCGGCTGGGGCAGATGTCCCCGCCCCCCCTCCCCGCTTCGGAACAGCTTTCCGAAGTGGGGCGGCTGGGGCAGGTGACCCCGCCCCCCCGCCCCACTTCGGAACAGCTGCAAAAGACGTCAGGGGGAAGCGGGGAAGCGAAGCGCTTCGCTTCCCGCTTCCCCCGGACCTCTTCTGAAGCAAGGGGCTGGGGGGAGATCGCTATCTCCCCCCATCCCCTTGCTTCAGAAGAGGTCCGGGGGAAGCGGGGAAGCGAAGCGCTTCGCTTCCCCGCTTCCCCCGACGTCTTTTGCAGCAAGGGGCTGCAGGGAGATCGCTATCTCCCCCCAGCCCCTTGCTTCAGAAGAGGTCCGGGGGAAGCGGGGAAGCGAAGCGCTTCGCTTCCCCGCTTCCCCCGACGTCTTTTGCAGCAAGGGGCTGCAGGGAGATCGCTATCTCCCCCCAGCCCCTTGCTTCAGAAGAGGTCCGGGGGAAGCGGGGAAGCGAAGCGCTTCGCTTCCCCGCTTCCCCCGGACGTCTTTTGCAGCAAGGGGCTGCAGGGAGATCGCTATCTCCCCGCAGCCCCTTGCTTCAAAAGAGAAGACCCGCTGTCCCCGGGGCAAGCTTCGTTTTGCGAAGCAAGCCCATAGGGGAATTCGTCTTGCGAGGCAAATCGCGGACGAAAAAACCTTTCGTCTAGCGAGTTTTTTGTCTTGCGAGGCGTTCGTCTTGCGGGGCACTACTGTAGTCCTTAAGATAACTTTTGAATTTTCTCCATTCTTCTTCCACCGTCTCTTTTCCTTGGTCACGGATTCTGCCTGTCATCTCGGCCAGTGTCATATAGTCCATCACTTTCATCTGCCATTCTTCCAGAGTGGGTAGATCTTGTGTCTTCCAATACTTTGCGATAAGTATTCTTGCTGCTGTTGTAGCATACATAAAAAAAGTTCTATCCCTCTTTGACACCAATTGGCCGACAATGCCCAAGAGAAAGGCCTCTGGTTTTTTAAAGAAAGTACTTTTAAGTACCTTTTTCATTTCATTATAGATCATTTCCCAGAAAGCCTTAATCTTCGGGCATGTCCACCAAAGGTGATAGAAGGTACCTTCAGTCTCTTTACATTTCCAACATTTGTTATCGGGCAAATGATAAATTTTTGCCAGCTTGACTGGGGTCATGTACCACCTATAAACCATTTTCATAATGTTTTCCTTTAAGGCATTACATGCCGTGAATTTAATACCGGTGTTCCATAACCATTCCCAGTCAGCTGACATAATGTTATGGCCCACATCCTGTGCCCACTTAATCATAGCCGATTTGACTGTTTCATCCTGTGTATTCCATTTCAGCAACAAGTTATACATTCTTTGAAACATTACAATCTCCTCCCACCCTATACCCACTGCCAAATCCTGTTTAAGAGAGATGGCTACTCAGCAGGGATAATGCACCTGTGGCCCTCCAGATGTTGATGTATTAAAATGACCATTGGCTATGCTGGCTGCAGCTGATGGGAGCTCTTGAGTCCAACAACATCTGGAGGGTCAAAGGTGCCACATCCCTTGCTCACTACAGGCATAGCAATCCTTCACTGAAACCTTCTTGAATACTCCGAGGACAAAACCACTAATCTCGTATTCAGGCCTAACTTCGAACTCTTTCCCTCTTTCCCTCCAGTCCTTTGAAGAGATGGAGTGAATGGATTGCATGAATACTTGCTAGACAATGAAAAAGCACTGATCACAGAATGGAATGTAATCTGGAATGTTTGAAATGTGTGTCCAAAGACCTCCCAGAGCAATAATGAACTGCCAGTACAAAAATGTACTGTACTGGATGACTCTTAAGCTGTGCACATGACATTTTATTCTAGATTCAAAGGAGACTGAGTGCTTGTTTTTCTCTACATAGTACACAAACAATCTAGATCTACTATTTGCTCCTGAAAAGTGCTTCATTCCAAAAATAAAAGCTCCTTGCAGATTGATTCTGTACTGCACCACAATGCCTGCACAAACACCAAGCCATTTGTAGCACAAAAATATAGTGTTTTCTCAGTCTGGAATTGTTCATGCTTGTCTTTAGCATGCTGCTTTCAACCTAGATTGATTCCTGGCCCTGCCATCCACAAGGATGGGTGTGGTTACTTGATATGCATTTTTAAAAAGTTTTAATGACCGTCATTGGTTATGCTAAAGCCTCACAGTTGCAAAACATTTTCCATTTTCAATTTAACCAGTTATTTCTGCAGAATCTTAATCTTAAAATGCCATCCGTAGAAGTACTTTGCAGTAGCTTTTCTTGTGCAGCCTGGTTCTCAATGGATTTACTCAGAAGGAAGTCTAACTGGATTCCGTGGCAATTTATTATTATTAAATTTATATCCTGCCCTTCTTGCCAAGGCGGCAAGTGATTTTTTTAAAACGAAAAATAAAAACGGACTTAAAACAGTTTCAAACATCTAAAACAATCATGTTATCTCACAACTAATAATTTCATGGTTGGCAGGAACCGCAGCCTTGACTGATACCTTTCACTGACATAGTCACTTAAAATGGGTAGAGAATAGCTTGGCTTATTTACAATATGGTAATTGGGGAAAATGTATGCTGCTGTACTCGCAGAGTGGAACAGACTGGTTCAGTTTGTGTGGCCTCCCACTCTCTGAGCCCTCTTTTTCTGCTTCTGATTTCAGTGCATCAGAAGAATTTAATAGCACTCTGTCTGAGCAATGTGGATGCTGCAGCCAAAGAAAGACATTTACAGGAATAGCACTGGCAGGCAAATCCATATCTGATATTTTTTTTCAGGATTCAAAGAGATGTAACATTAAAATGAATAAGTTAAATAAAAACTCATTCGCCTCTTCCTCTTTACATACTTACACAAATAAATAGGCTTGCAAGAAAGTAGAAAGTAGGTTTTTCAATACTTACAGTTGTGCACCTGTCATTTTCCGTCATGTTTTTTTGGCCTGTTACACTCAGGCCTTCTTAGAAGTCTATGGAAAAAGTTTTGTTCTTTTCCTGCCTATAAGCAAAACAAACAAAAGAGCCAGAATAGAGGATGTAGTGGGGAACATTATCTCTAGCAAACACCAGTTAGACACCACCCATGCAGATAGCTGAGTCACACAACAGTCAACATCTTCAGATGGATGCTGGACAGAGTAAGAGGGAAGAATATTTGACATAATGCTTTGGGAATAGGGGAATTTGTTCATTTTGCCATTGATCAACCAGTAAGTTTCAAAGAATGGCTTCAGAGGTGCAAAAACAACAACAGTTTTTATACACATATAATAGAGGATATACTTGTACCCTTCTCACATACAATGGCATATAAATAAATAATGCCTGGAAGTACATGAAATTCATTGTGTTGAAAAGCACTAAGACTGACAATAAGGCTGAAGTAAATTAGTTCACGATCAGACTTGAATGGTGAAGTAAACGGCACCCAATGAAATGAAAATATAACAAGTTTTTTCACCCTACACATCACAATCCTATAATCAGAAGCAAGTAACATTCAGTTCTGCAGGACTTACTCCAAGGTAAGAGAGATTGCAGTCTTCATTGACCTAACGGGTTATTTGCTATTAGAAGCTCTAATAATAAACACTATAAAAGAGTCACCTCCCTCCAAAGGGACTAGATGCATTCACGTGTAATGTAGGTCCCACAAAGGTATTTCCTGAAATATACCAGTCCTGGATTCTCTGAACTGCACTGCAGGGTTGTAGTAAACTACTGTACTCTCTTCCACCTCTTAGCAATATGAGTATAACAATATTAGACCACTTTGCCATATAAAATACCCCGCATTTTCTTAATGATTAATTTTATTAGCATTAAGTATTGGCATGTTAACTGTTTAATATGTTTGCAAAGGTTGGGGTGACCCGTTTTCTTGATGTAAAAGATGACTTGGAGAGACTTACTACCTTTTGTTTTTGGGTGCACAGGCCCAATCACAGTTACGCAATAACCCTAAATTTCAGAATTGTTTTCTATAGGGCCACAACCATTTCTCCGTTGAAGTCGCCTCCAGACTTCAAAATGAATCAAGAAGTTCCAGACAGTAGGTGTGTCAGTCTAACATTTTAGTCTGTGTGCTTTGCTTTCCTCAATGTCAGTCACAGCTGCTACTTGCTTCATTGGCTAGCAACATTAAAATACGACAGTAGGCTACAGTAGCTTTTTTTAAAAAAGAAGAATGGCTCGGAAGGCCTACACGTTTTGCCTGATGAGACACTAGCTTATTTTATTTTATATAACGAAAGCTAGGGATCCGGCCAGCTAGTGGAATAAAGGAGCACTGTATGGTAAATCTGGGTAAATCCCAGGCAACCGAACTAGAGAGGATGAAGGAGAACGTGATCTTCGGATGAATACGAAATTTTAAAAATCAGTAAATAAATTGTACGTTATGCGGACCATGAGCGCCTTTCTTTCCAGACACGTGATATTTTTGCCCGCTTCAGAGATGGCAACTGTTGGGCTTCGTTGCCCTAGAGAAAGATGGCGTCCCCCTTGCCCAATAAGCCGGTTGTTCCGCCTGTCGCTTCGATCACCTGATTAGCTTTTCAACATGGCCGCGGCAACCGGACTTGATTCTGTCTGGGAGTGCAGGTAGCGCTGATGACAGCAGGATAACCTCCTGAGGCGAGGCGAGTGTATATTCTACTGGTGGTTGGACCTCTCTTCCAGGTGGGTCCTATGCGAGGCACGAGTTGCTGGTTCCCTGCCTGCGCTGCCTTTGCATGCCGGAGGAAAGTGTGGGGAGGGTGGGGGCAAAAAGGAAAAACTCCGCTGGGTGAGACGAGACTCGGAGGAGGACGCAGGAGAGCGGAGAAGTTCACATGAGATGGGCACGGCAGCTTGCTTGCCGAGACGAGCGAGGAAGGCACTAGTAGACTGTTGCGGGTGGTTATTTAAATATAGCCAGGCTTTTAAATTAACAGTTGCCCACGTGATGAGAGTAACCTTTTAGCAAAGTTGTCAAGTATAAAAAGCACCCACGGAACGTCAGTGCTACACTCCTTTGCCCTCTTTGGAGTCAGCTCTACTGAGCTTGTTTGGTGGGACGTAATTCTGAGTGAAGGTACCTACTTTTAAGCTTGATACTTGAATAGTAGTGCCTCTCAAGGTACTTCTTTAAGAAACTGAAATGTGAATTGGAGCAGTTGCATGATCAAGGGGAGCTTGATTCATCATAGATTAGCTGGGCAAAGTTTATTTGGCAGTGGAAAGTTTCCCACGGAGCAGGTAAGTCGAATGTGGCACCATAAGAACTGTTCAGGTATAATAAATGAGCCCTGGTTTATTAATGAGTCCACTAGATGACTTAAAGTTTTTGGGGAGTTTTTTAACCTGCAGGAATTATTCTTGCTGAGCTAAAAGGTTTTGCTCATCTTAATGCAGAATTTGCTAACCCTCTCTGGCTTAGGCTCAGCCCCAGCCCCCTCAGAGATTTCCATATCCTCACAAAGATTTAACCCCTTTTTATAGCTTCCCTTGCATCCATACTGTCGCCTGTATTTCCACTCAAGATCAGCTTAGTCTCTCAACTTGTTATTGTTAGGTCTGAGGGAAGGCTAGTCAGCTGCAGTTTCCACTTTCCTGTTTTCACTCTCACCTGTTTACCTGCAGATGTTTTGACAGATTTTCAATGGGCAAACAAGACAATTGCTATTCTTGTTATTTTATAAAAGTGCAAGTGTATTAGGTTAGCTGTCTGTCCTGCTAGACATTCTAACTTTGTGTAGGGAAAGACTAAAGTTCCACTTCTAGACATGAATCTTTCTGTAAATTTTCATCTCTCATTTTAGGAAGTGCATTGTAAGTGAATGTTTGACAGATATGATTTAAGAATAGGATCTGATGAGTTCTAGTCTTTTGTTTGCATTTTGAAGCAGGAAGATGCATCCATTTGGTAAGGAGGAATCTGCATCCCTGGAACGGCTCTTCTGGTTTTTTTGTGATTGTGTGAAGAGGGAAGACTGGGAACTTGCACAGGCCTGCATTCCTCAGTTACACCGGTGGCAGGAAGATGGCTGTGAAAAAGTGGAAAGGATCCTTCATGCTCTAATAGTCTGCCCTTCTCATCTAAGGTGAGCACTACATTGACTTTTGGTAACTAACAGTTGAAAGTGTGTGAAAAAGTTGCAAGCTTTAAAATATTACAGTGTAGTCCTGTACATAGATGCTCCAAAGAAAGTCCCATTATTTTCGGTGAGGCTTATTCCCAGGTAAGTGAATGCAGCCTTTAAAGTATGTTTTGAGTGTGTTCCTTATTAATTTCAAAAGGGCAGCAGTGTTAATCTTTTGCAACACAAATAATAAAGGTTATTGATTAACAAATTTATTATGATATCGACTTCTGTCAACTCCAGTTCACCACTGGATACATGAAGTGTTATCCTGAATAGCAGGAACATACATATTTGCAGAGGGGAAGAGTGATTGTGAACTTTGAGGAAAGAAGGAAGTGGAATGCAGAAATGTGAAGATGGTAAGAATTACATAGCAGGGACGCTTCACAAAAAAAATGTTTGAAAACACAGGTATCCTGACATTTGTAAGTCAGTTACCACATGTAATGTGATGACAAATGCAATTCCATAGACAAGCAATAGTACTGAACCTCTTGATATACTGACATTTACTGCGTTCATCTTGCAGTCTCCCTTTGAAATTCCTTTGTTCAAGAATGGATTTGATTGTTGTAGAGCTTTGAGCACCATTGCTTTGGGGGGTTATGAGCTGCTCTTGCTAGGGCTGCAGTTCAAAGCAGTTCAAAAGTTACTGAGATTTCTAGATAAATGAATTTAGTATGAAAAATGACTAATTTGGGGATGTCTCCTTGTAGGTGTGGATCGAAACACAGTCCTCAAAAACTTGCTTGGTTTTGGCTCCTTGTTTTGCAGACGTGGCTCGCATGGGAGCAGGTAAAAAAAAATCTGTTCCATTCCAGATAAGAAAATACTTCTGTCCTAATTTGAGAAATTTTGTAGCACCCAATGAAGTTTGATAATTGCTGCTGTTTTAGTAATTACAAAAAATAATAATCAGAAGGCTATTAAAGAAGGCTTTGGCTATGACCAGGCATAGGCAAACTTGGCCCTCCAGCTGTTTTGGGACTATGACTCCCATGATCCCTAGCTAACAGGACCAGTGGTCAGGGATGATGGGAACTGTGGTCTCAAAACATCTGGAGGGCTGAGTTTGCCTATGCCTGGCTATGACTGTAACATTATGTTCTTCTTCAATTAGTTTGATTGTGCAAGTCCTGTTGATATTCTGAATGGATAGGCCACAATCCAAAATAGCTAGCTCTGTTCAAATAGCAAAATGATGCATATAATGATGCTTTCTTTTCAATTCTTGCAAAACACCAGTGGCAGTTCTAAGTTTTTGATGTTCCTGCCCTTGTGCATTGAAAGGCAGACTTGACATGCAGAACTTACACAGATATAGATTCTGACATGGGGATAAAGTGATAAGAAAATCTTCTGCTTCGTTTCTGTGTGCTAAGCAGCTGGTATAGTCATAGGAGTTGACTCAGTAAGAAAGTTGGCAGTCTTACTGAATCAGTGGGGCAAAAAAATTCTTTTAGATTTGGCAGTGCCCCCCGCAAAGCACCACCCTCCAGCTCTCTGCAAGCTTCCCACAAATTGTTTCCTTAGATTGTACCTGTCATTTTTTAAAACTAATTGAACCAAATATTTGGTTTAGAAGTACTGGCAAGTAAAAGTTGTTGGCTGAATGCCTGTCTATTTGAAATTAGTCTATTTGAGCAGGAAGTATCAAAGTAGACTGGGAAATAAGTTGCAATCTCTCCCCAGCTCCTAAAAGCTTTAAAACATCTAAAATGTCTACCAAGAAGCTCTCACTAGATATACCGTACTTTTCTGTGTATAAGACTAGGTTGTTTTTTTACTCTAAAATAATGTTAAAAACGGGGGTCGTCTTCCCCCATTTTCATAAATTTGAGTCCCCCAAAATAGGGGTTGTGTTATACACTGGAGGGGGGAGGTTATACACGGGAAAATACGGTATTTTATTTGCATACCTATTCTAATACATATCATTCCAATTTCTTTTCTCTCTCTCCTCCAATCATTCCAGAAAACAGTTCCAGAAGCTCTCCAGAGAGAAACTGAGTTCTTGCTTCTCCTAGAAGAACTAGAAAAGGATGTCTCACATGCTGTTCTAAAGGTGTGATTGCTTCTTGAGGGTGAAATTGGTTCAACAGGTGTTACATTTAATGTTGCTCTTATGTGTGCAAAGCTCGTGTATGCACAGTGAATTCAGCTGAGCAGTACAGCCCTGAGATAATTCCAACTCCTGGAATTCATATGAAATGTGGGCTGATCCAGGAGTTAGCTGGCTGTGATTCAGATGACCGGCACCACTTCAGTTGTTGGTCCGAATCCATGCATATTTAAGTGAACTTTGTGTGGCTTGTTAAAGAAATATAACCTATGTTACCTCATTTTCTTGAGTGTTTTGATTGTCACCTCTGTGGATGTTTGCCAGTGAGGCTTCCCCCTTATGCTTAAGTTTATTGCCAGTCAGCTCCAGCCTTCTGAAGATGACTGATTATTGGGAATGTCACTGATCCCTTCAAGGGGAAGAGTCATACTTTGGATGCATTAATTTGGGGAAGGGCCAAGCTGAGTGGGAGAGCACATGCTTTTCATGCAAAAGGCCCCATGTTGAAATGCTGGCAGCTCTAGAAAGGGTTGGGAAAGAATCCTGCTTGAAACTCTGGAGTCTGTGTGGGTTGTACCAAGCTTGATGGCCCAGTGGTCTGACTTGGTATAAAATATATTCCTATGTTCCGATTTTATCTTATTATCACTTTGTCACCTCTCTTGTGAAGGTTGATGGATGGTTGTTTGTTTTTAACCTAATATGTCTTAGATGTTGGATTCTGGACCTCCCAACATAACTCATAAACAACAGTTGGGAAACTGCCTGCCTTTGTGTAGTAAAATTGTTAGGCCCACGTCAATTCTGGAAAAGTTGTTCAGTTTTAAGGTCCATAATGAAGTATTGTTCAGACTGCTCGTGGATCTGCATAGCTCTGTCTTCTAGTCCCAAAGGTCTATGTAATAGGAAAAGTTCTGAGTCTTAGTGTCAAACTCATAGGCTTCTCAGTTTTTTTCTGTAAGTGCTTTGCTTTCGGTTCTGGACTGGATATCGTCAACCTGAGATCAAATACCAAATGGTTCAATTGATTTAATTTTTTTCAGGAACACGGTTTATGAGTTCTACTTGTTTTGAGAGGTCACCAGTTTATTTTTGATATTATTGCATCCTATATTACCTTCATTAAAGAAAGTGAATGTTTGTGGAACAGAAAGGTGCTCTAGGATCATGTGTACAAAATAGGATCATTTAACAAAATGCAGTCAGAAACTCAT